AAAGGTTGGACACCCCTGGTCTAAGAGAGCTGAGTAACTTCACCCTAACTTGGCTCCAAATCTTGTATGTTTTGGCTTCGGGTGTTTGTGGGATTTCTCTGGCCTTTAAATGCTAAGGATTCTTACTGCTGCCGCTGTGGATGTGATACAAGGGAAATAGTAATGTGAGTCCTGATCAGGCCAAGATACAAAGATGGAGGAAAGGAGGAGCCCTCACTTTTGAGGCCTGTTCTTGTTCAAAGTTGTTCTTGCTTAAAATTGGGAATATGCTCTTTCCTCTCTCATGCTGCTTTGTTGGGGTTTTTATATTTGCCTTCTGTCCTCTGGCAAAGCAAGCCCTTAAGAACATAAATATGAATGGTAGCTGAGATGAACTTCTCAGGCTTGCCATTGCAGACGTGTATGAGTACATTATATATTACTTGCTTTAGCAAAGGGATCTTTGTAACAAAATGCACCATGTAACTCCTGTGGAGTTTATGAAACATTATGCGTGCCTTCTCCTGGGTACTTAAATCGGAGCAAGTTAGCACTTAATACAAAACTAAAAAGTGTGAAAAAAGTATGTATGGAAGAACATTTTTTCTAGGCTATCTATGCTGAATTAAGGGAATGGAAAAAGGTCAGGAGTAGGAAACAGTATGTAAATACCAAAAATATGAGATGTAAAAATATCACCAGGAAATAATTCATTATGATTAGATAATAAAACACAGTTTGTAGCGGATCTCAGAAGTCATTGAAGGGTAAGCCATTTTTAATTTTAAACATTTCATTCCATGATAAATAGGAATGAGTTAATGCTACATTACACTGCAATTAATAGAGTAGGAAATCAAGTTCATATTACCATTATGAAAGCTTTTCAGGATAAGTAGAATTAGAGTGGAAGCCAAATGAAAATGACAAGTAGATGTTGACTGCCCTTGAGAGGAATACAAAATGCACTGATCAAGAAAGAAATCTTGTTGAAGGTGATGCTGAAATTGATTATCTGGGTCTGAAAATGTTCTTTGAAAAGTAAGGGGATATTGCCTTTATATTTTTAAGAATAGTTTTGCTAGTCAATGAGGGAACTGTCTTAGTAGGGAATTATTATTAATAATCATTTCTATTGTGATAGCATCTAAGGTCCCCAAAATGAAGGTGAACTACTAAAGTCAAGAGGTTGTCCTGATGCGATTTCTGGTATATTCCTAATGCAGCAGTAGCCAGAATTTCCCTATGCAATCTGATTGGCTAATGCTTCTCCAGAGCTAAGTACTTTTAACTTTTGAAAAGGCTTACAAAAGTCTTGCTTCATTACCTGGAATTATTTTAACAAATCATGAGTAGGGGGTCTACCTAAATCATGAGGGGACTTACTAATCCTTGCAGGTTGATCGGAACATAAAGTTCTAATTTTATGGTCATTTTGTGGCAGCTCTGCCCTTTGGTGCTGATTGATGGAGAGGTCCCACCCCTCAGCACTGATTGGCAAAGAGGCCCTGGGGGGGAAGGGCAAAGGGACACCCACCATTTGATAGCTGGCTGTCCTTCATGTGGCCCTCCCCCTTGGCACTAACTGGTGGAGGACATCCGGTGGGGGGAGAAGGAACAATGGGGATGCCACCATCTTTTCTGCTGCTCTTCATGCTGCCCTGCCAGCCAGTGCCTTCCCCTCCCAGTATCAAGGACCATTGGCTACCACTGGGGAGCCAGCATTTTATTTTTATTAAGTTTTGTTGTTGATGTTGAGTTCATGGATTTTGCAGACAATCTCAGATTTTGCAGTTCCACAAAATCCACAAAACTGTGAATTAAGTAGGTTATGCAATTTATTTTATTTTCTAAATAGTGTATGATGTATAATTTTCCTTAACTTCATGTTTTCCTGAAAAGAATGAGAGTTGAACACTGAGGAGTTGAACACTGATATCCAAAGCTAGGGTTATAATTTACATTTCAATTTGTTTAATATCAATGTCTATTTCTTTCTTTCTTTCTTTCTTTTTTTGAATTCTTCTAATATTCAGCCTATTCTTCTTTTTGCTTACAGGCAAAAATAATAATTTTAATTAGAATTTCAAGGGGAAAGTGTAATTTTACATATATTTAAGGAGAATTGTTATTTCATATAGTAAAAAAAGAATCAAGGCAAACATTCAGGTCCTAGCAAATAGATTATAAGTAAGAGTCTGTAAAGCAATATTGTTGTGTGTTCAATAGTTTTAATTTTATATTTCACATATAACAGTGGGAGAAGGAGATAGAATTAAAGTGGCTTGTCTTAGTGAAAAAAACAATGGTTATATGCCATATGATGCTGAAAGATATACTATTTCACATCATACAAGATATGATCATAATCATTCAGATTGAACAGTCTCTGTCAACATCAAATCCAAATAAGCTTATGAAGCAAGATGTTCCTGTAACTGTCTCAGATGACATACAAATATTACCTGTGTTAATATACTTTTAGGATTTTACATTTATCAATGAATTCAGAAGCAATCAGTTTACATTTTACTCACATAAGCACTTTTACTGAAGTCAAAGGGTCAGATCCAAAAAAAGTTCCTAGCACATAAATTATTTCAATAGATACTTGCTTGCTTAGTCTTTCATGTCAGGTGGCATATGGAGGCTCTTTCTGCTGGCTGCTTTTCTTACTAAAACTGATATTTCTGTTCTAAATTCCTTAATTTTTTTCTCAATCTACTGCCTTCTTCCATTACTCTTAGGGTCTTACTCTTTTCCTTTTTCAAATTGGTTTCTAAAACACTGCCTTTTTAGGGTATTTCTTCATCAGGCATTCTTAGCATGCATCTAACTTGGGGGTTCTCAATGTTTTTAGACTCAAGGCATTCCTTGGAAAATGCCACCTCTTACTTTTCACTCATTTCTTGACTATGGAAAAAATAAAGCAAGTCTATTCTTGCAAAGTTCTTTAAAAGGTGACAATGGCCACATACAGATGTGCTGGGATGCAATCTACAGTCACATAGCTTACATTAAGCAGCATGATTGTAGATTGGATGTCAGCTGTACAGATGTTTGCTGGTGATAGGAACTGAATCAAAGTAAGTTGGGGAGGGGCAGTGTGATCAGGAGAGCTATTGGGTCCATAGTGGGGAGCTGACCAGGAGGAGGAAGCATCGAGTGATCGTCATTGGTGACTCCATCCTGAGAGGTACAGAG